CCAAGAGCATCCAGGAGTCCTCGGCATCGAAAAAGGGACCTGAAGTTTTGCCCGGTTGTTCCGATATAGTAGAATTAAGAGACCAACTGCTGGCTTCCTCTGAGAGCATTGAAGTTCAGCAGGAGCACTTGAAAGAACTGCAGGAACGGCTAGATGAGCAGCGGGAAACCCTCCTGTTTCGCCAGAAAATACAGGAGGACTTGCTGCTGCAGAGGCATGCCCAGCTGAAAGAAAAAATGGAGCAACAGCAAGAAGCCTTAAAAGGGATTATTAAACGGGTATGCTTTTTAGTACGAGAAAAAGAAACATTCAGGGGTCTCGTCAGGGTAATTCTCAAAGAGGAAACTCTCCTTTCTAGCTGTCGTTCCATTGTTAGTTCTCATCTAAATCTACCATTTGCTTAGAATAGGTCCTCAGTAGGTGATCATTTAAAAGCTGGCTTCAGTTAGCCATAATGCTCTGCAATTTCTGGATATTTTGCAATAAGAAAATTCCGTTTTCCCTGGTTTTCCAGCAATTATCAATCTCATCCATTGCATTTTTGAAAAATCTGATCACCTCTCGTGCATTTTCTCTCTCCTAGCGTCAAAAAAGGTAGATCGTAGTTGAATAGCAAATCAGAGGGAGTTTTATCTCATGCATCACTTGCAGTCCTAGAACCATTTCTTATGAAATTCTGTTAAATGCAACAATTATCTTTTAATTCCAGAGTCAGTTACTCTTTCAGTCCCTGGGTGTGATGTTACATATGGGGCACTTAACATTTTCAAACAAAATCTAAAACTGCCAGTATTTCAAAAGATTTTATACAGGATCACAGGTTTTATAATATTTGCTCCCCATGAAATTTAAGGCATTTTTAAACTTCATTTTATATTTTAAAATGTTTCGAAGGCCTTGGAGATAGCTACATATACTCGTGTTATAGTCATCCAATTGCCCATACTCTTTAGTATAAAACTTTGAACATTAAAAAAAAAAAACCTAGATGTGTTCCTCTAATAAAGTCCACCATCTTTTTGGTTTCAAGAAGTTTGGATGACTTTTTAAACCAAACCTGGTGTTGAAAGAAAAATCTTCATAAGAGTCCAGTCCAAGCTGGGAATAATCAAAATGGAGGCTGCTTTAGAAAGAAGGTTGTAGTTTATTGAAGAGGAGAGCCAGACAGAAAGATGGCTCTGGGAAAGCTAACCACATGCAGCAGGGAGTGGTGGGCTTTTATACCTCCTTTGGGCTTTGTATTTGGAGTTCTTCCTGTTTGAGGCTTTGTATTTCCTGTGTCATGTACTTTGACCTGAGTCTGAGTGTCTGAGTCTGACCTGGTATTGGTGGGTTAATCCTATTATGTCTCCTATCCTTAGAATTTGGGTGGGGGTATGTAGATTTTAAATGTCTTTGTCTTCCTAATAGCTTCCTGGCTCCAACATTCCTGAATGGATTATTACATCTGCATTTCTAAAAGCTGGCCTCTGCCTAGTTTCTGCTTGGGGGAGAGGGGCTGGTTTCTGGGGTCTGGTTTCTATCTTTTTTTTAGATCTTCTCCATTATTCCTTTGAGGAAATATATTCTGCCTTTTTAATATTCCCCAAAATATTTCTTTCTCTGGATTCTTCCCACACTGGATTTGCCACATGGCATAGAATGGTGGAAAGTTATCTTGTGTGATCAGACATTACTCTCAGTACATTGGACATTTATTTTTATTTATTTATTTTTATTTTATTTTATTTTAATTTAATTTAATTTATATCCCGCCCTTCTCCCAACGGGACTCAGGGCGGCTCACAACATATTTAAAACAAAGGAATATATACAATCCCCCCCTGTAAAACCGAATTAAACCAAATTTTAAAGTTGTGTTATTTCGAATTCCTTAAAATGAACCCAGTATAAAATCCTCCCTAGGCCAGGTCCGCTTGCTGAAAAAGCCATGTCTTGAGGGCGCGACGGAAGGTAAGGAGATCCGGAATCGTCCGAATCTCGGGGGGTAGTTCGTTCCAGAGGGNTGCTTTCTTTGCCTTATTGGTTCCTTTTAAAGCACTTTGGTTGAGGTTCTTCCGATTGAAATTGAAAGTGTGAATTTATGTTTCTAGGTCAGTAACCCTGTTCTATCCTATTACTTTCCATTGTGGTCTGTTTTTGAAACTGAAGAGCTTTCATAAATGACAATTTCACTGGAGATATCTCACATTGGTTTGGGTTCAGCACAGACCATTGTCACTTCTGTCTTCACAGTCAGTACAACGAATGAATGAATGAACGAATGAATATTTTATTTGGTCAAATTTCAGGATACAAAGAGCATCTTACTGGAGATATATTCCTCACTCCCACAGTTGATAAACTACAGTCCAGTAAAAGCCCAACTGAACCTTTACAGGAGGATATAGATCTGCTAAGAACTATTTCTATAGCTGATGATAAATTTATCTCTGGTGGAGAAATTCTTATGCAAAGCAATAGAATCATCATCATCATACCAATGAGGGGAGAATAAACAAGATAATAAGAATGATAAATAGTAATATTACAGCCATACTATATGAGTAAATACACACAGACATACACATCAGTATCATTATCCTTATATTGCAGGGAGAACAGTTTCCTTCACATTAAAATAGATTTAACTGGGAAAGTCTCAGTCCAGAGTCCAAGTTTCTATATATTACTCGGTTACAACAATTCTGGTTCTGAACATATCTTTACGTTGCAGGGCCGTTTCAGAGCACGTGGACTAGAGAAGAGAAACAGAGATTTTCAAAACCACCTTTGGTCAAAATAAAACCAGGACTTGATTTGGAACAGCATGAACTTAGTGCTATACAAGAACTTGACACACCAAGGAGTGACAGATTTACCAGTACAGGTAAATTATGACAGGATAATGCTAATCAAAATCATGTATCTTGCTGCATTTAAGCACTTGCTTCATTCCACTTAACTGCAAAAGCATACAGCGATGGGCAGCCTGGAAGAGATCACCAGTGTTTCTTTCCTTCAATCCTAACCTTATTATTCCTTTCCTGTCCTTCATTACGTTAAACGTCGCTCATTTCATAATACTTTCATGGTATTTTTTATCAGATTGACATTGTGACTTGTTCTGTGCAGTCATTGTGCCTTAGCGCTAACTTGGAGATTGTTTATAGACAAGCTGCTTTGTGTATGTACGTGTGAAAATGTTCCTTTAGATTAGGCAAAAAGAGAGTTTTGTCTTGTTGTAATGCACGTTTTGGGATACCTTGATTTGTCTCATGCCTTTTCATTTTCTCAGTCTTATTGATGGGCAATAACAAGAAAAAAATAAGATACAATATATTATTGATGGTTGATAACTGATGCATCAATCATAAGATATTGGCATCAATACTAACACCATTGGCAACTTGTGAAAAGCAATATTTAACTAGTTTTTAAAATAATCTCTAAATCATAAAAAAAAAACAACCTGCTTGTTATCACACAAAATTATCATATAGGGGAGCAGCTGCAAAATATAGCCTTGCTTATTTGTGTAGGAGTTGACCAGGTTGAGTCCCTGTGCACCCACAAGAGATCTAAGTCCAGCCCACCTTGAATGTCTCTCTTATCTCCCGCTCATTTCCCTTAACCGCCAGTTGGCCAGATTCTTGTAGAGAGCTTAACCTTGCAATAAACCTTCATGCTCATTTGAACTGCCTGAATCTTCTGATTTCCCCAGCGCTGGACAATTTGCTTGTTTTTAAAAGATTTGTCTGGTCACCTATATTGTTAGGTGGGCAGCTAACAAGAGTAATAAAAATATAATAATATAACAAACACAATACAATACAACAAACAAGAGAAACCAGATCCAACCAATCCAACTACATCCAGGCTCCAACCTCACTATGCAGGCCCCGGGAATTAAGCTAGCTCTTCATGGCTTTCCAAAAGTTTAAAACAGTGAGGTCTTAATGCAGTGATGGCGAACCTTTTAGAGACTGAGTGCCCAAACTGCAACCCAAAACCCACTTATGCATCATCGAGTGCCGGGTGGGTATGGCCCATTGGCTGGGCGTGGCTGTGGTGGTAACGGAAGAATGGGTGGGACTAAAAGGTTCAATCAATTCCAACTTTGCAAGATCTTTCTTTTCCTGCGAGAAGTGGAAATTGACAACCTTTTTTTTTTTTTGCACATGGCAGCGGAGGCCTAAAGCGAAAAGGTTTTATAAAACCCAGCTGAAGGCCTAGGGCTGGGGCGACAGTGCGCATGCCCACAGAGAGGGCTCTGAGTGCCGCCTCTGGCACCCGTGCCATAGGTTCGCCACCACTGTCTTAATGTATCTCAAGGGGAAGAATGTTCCACAGGTCAGGGACACTGAAAAAGGTCTGCCTTCCTAAGTCACCCTAGATCAGGGGTAGGCAACCTTGGCTCTTTTACGACTCGTGGACTTCAATTCCCAGAATTCCTGAGCCAGCATGGCTCAGCTTGGAAACCTCTCCCTTTCCCCTCAGCATGGCTGGCTCAGGAATTCTGGGAGTTGAAGTCCACGAGTCATAAAAGAGCCAAGGTTGCCTACCCCTGACCTAGGTGGCAACTTTTAAAGGAGAGGATATGGAGCAAGTCCACTCTGTCTGATCCAGTTGGACGGTTGAACAGCAAGTACAGGTTTTTTTCTAATACACCTTTCCTTGTTGCTACAGAAATTTCAGGATACAAAGAGCTTCTTACTGGAGATATATTCTTCACTCCCCCAATTGATAAGCTACGGTCCAGTAAAAGCCCAACTGAGTCTTTACAGGAAGAAATAGATCTGCTAAGAACTATTTCTATTGCTGATGATAAAGAACTAGACTCTGGTCAAAGCCTGGAGCACATACAAGGGTCATGGCAAGTTGAATCGATGTGGAAAGCTAATGGTTTGTATGACTCAGGTGAGAAGAGTTACCTTTTGGGAGAATGGTTGCTTTTCAGCAGAAGCAGCGGTGGGGTTAAATTTCATATCAAGTCAGTAACGATAATCAAAATAAACTCTCTTAAATATATTTCATATTTATTTCATATTTAAGAAATATTCTATAATCGCCGCCATGGAATCTTAACAAGCATTGGCATTGCTTTTAGAAAGTGGTTAAGCTCCAAGGGCTGGTTATACAGCATTCCTTAATGACTCCTCTCTCCATAGATTTGCAAGGACTTGATACAGTCAAGAGTAAAATCTTGACAAAAGGGGAAAATGGACATGTTATTTAAAAAAATTCATCAAAGACAGTAATTTTCCCTGTAAATAAATACTAGTACAGGTAGTCCTTGACTTATGGTCACAATTGAGCCCAAACTTTCTGTTGCTAAGCGAGACAGTTGTTAAGTTAGTGTTTCTGAAGAATATCCTGCACTTCTAAAGCCTGTTTAAATTATGATCTATGCAAATATAGGAACAGAAGACCTGGAGCTCTCTAGAACAATGTTTTCTCAACCTTGCCAACTTCAAAATGTGGACTTCAACTCCCAGAATTCCCCAGCCAAGTGGGATTGAAATTGAAGATAAGTTGAAATCCACACATCTTAAAAGTTGCCAAGGCTGAGAAGCCCTGCTTAGATGTATGGTGTGTTACTGTTGCAATTATTGTCGACTCTCACTTGTGGAATTATGTCTGTGTGACCACATAGAGTTAAACTTGAGCACATCATGGTTTGCCAGCTGCTTCACGTTGCTTCCTCTTCTTTATATTCAGTCCACTCCAAAGAATTTACGTCTATTGATCAAAATTTATCAAATTATTCTGCTGATAGTGGAAGAATAATTACATCTCCTGATCCATCATTGAGGCCAAACAGCCAAGTAAGTCGTAATAACTAGTGTTTATTAGTATGTTATATAATTGTACCATTTACTTTAAACAATCTCGTTCTCTTTTAATGTTTGCATTTTAAATACTGTTTGATTAGTACTCTGTACCTGGAAATCACATGAACAATATACACTGTTCATGTCTAGTTTAATGAAGAGAAGGACGAGGGGGGACATGATAGCAGTGTTCCAATATCTCAGGGGCTGCCACAAAGAAGAGGGAGTCAAGCTATTCTCCAAAGCGCCTGAAGGCAGGACAAGAAGCAACGGGTGGAAACTAATCAAGGAGAGAAGCAACCTAGAACTGAGGAGAAACTTCCTGACAGTTAGAACAATTAACCAGTGGAACAACCTGCCTCCAGAAGCTGTGAATGCTCCAACACTGGAAGTTTTTAAGAAGAGACTGGACAGCCATTTGTCCGAAATGGTATAGGGTTTCCTGCCTGAGCAGGGGGGTTGGACTAGATGCCTTCCAAAGTCCCTTCCAACTTTATTATTATTATTATGTTTTACACTTCATGTTACATAAGAAGCTCTAAGGAGCTCCATCTGACACATTAATTTCCATATGTTTTCCATTACAGTTTTCCTTTTTTTCTTTCCATTAATTTCCCCAAGATTTTTTAGATGGCAAAAATAATGCAGCAAAGATGGTATTATTTGATATGTATGTAAATAACAGCATGGCGGTAGTACAGCGTCTTACTTAAAAGAATGTTAAGCTTTGTTCTGATTCGATTAAAAAAGTCATTTGCAAGCAACGTACTACATTTCTGAAAGCATTTTAAAAGATACACAGCTAAGGCATACCATATTTTCTATTATAATAGTACAAAATACAGATTTTTATCATTTAATAGCCATAAAAGTGTCTTGAATTGCTTTACTATTCCTCTGAGAGCCTCTTAGTCGCTGGCTCTGTGATGAGAAATAGCCAAATATGAGCACTAAAATGATCAGCTGATCTGCGGTGCGTGATTTATATACCGTTCTGGGAAGCAATTCAAGCCTGAACCTGTGTGTGTGTTTGTGTGTGTGAGATGATTTGTGAGTTTTGTGTGTGATGAATGGATGTATGAGTAGAGTCTGAAGGTGGGGGATTTTGCTGGGGTGGGGGGGAGAAAGGAGAGCAAGAATGAGATTGACTGTTTTGAGCGATGATGAACCTGACATGTACTGACAGTTGAATACATGGAGGTTCCTACACTTGAACTGAGCTCAGAATGAAAGACGTTTTGATTTCAAGCACTTGTGATCGTATTAATCTGGACTCACACACCTGTGTAATACTCTTGTCCTAGGTAACACTGTCACACGCCTGGTCTCCGGGGTTGTTAACGCCAACAACGTGTACACAGCAGGTCGCTTGTGGCTATTTTACTTCAGAAACTCCTGCTGCTGCCAACTTTATAAAAAACTACCACCCAGATCATGATCTTGCTGGCAAAGGTAAGTTTGTGGCAGGCTCAAATAAAAAGATCTTGACAGACTCGAACAATGGGCCCCATTCCAACAACATGAGGTTTAATGTGGGAAACATTAAACACTTCTTTGAAGTGTTTCATTAGTCGGAACCATGACACAAGGTTTTACATTTAGGCAGGGAAAAACCAAAGGTACAAGTACAGATTAGGCAAAACCTGGCTCAGAAACAGTAACTTATGTAGAGAGGCCTTGGGGTCCTAGTGGACAAACACTTCAATATGAGCCAGTTTTGGTCACTACGTTACAAAAAAGATGTGAGACTTTGGAAAAAGTGCAAGGAAGAGCAACTAAGATGATTAAAGGTCTAGACCAGACATGTCAAACACAAGGCCCGGGGGCCGGATGCGGCCCGCGAAGTGGTTTCATGTGGCCCGCGAAGCCATCCTGGAAACAGTGAGGGAACGGCCCCCGCTGCCTTGGCCCTGGCCCAGGCCAGCTGGGAGCCAATGTACAATTTTGTGGTGGCCATCTATGCTGAAATGCATTCAGTCTTAGCTCCATAACCCCCCACCCCTGCATGGCCTGAGAGGAACAGTGAGGCTCCTCCAGTGGACCATGCCTTGGCACTTGCCCTGGTCCCACCCCCTTCTGCCAGAGACCCTCAGATCTGTCCCACTCCTGCCCTGGCACCCTTGACACGAATGATGTAGAGCTGGCCACGCTCACCCAGTAGGCCACACACACTCCATCCACGCCCACCCAGTAGACCACACCCACCCGGCCCCCTGAGGGCAACCGCAATGCTGATGCGGCCCTCAATGAAATTGAGTTTGACACCCCTGGTCTAGACTAGAGACTAAAATGTATGAAGAACTGTTGCACGATTTGGGTTTGGTCAGTAGAGAAAAGAAGGACAAGGGGTGACATGATGGCAGTATTCCAGTGTTTGAGAGACTGCCACAAAGAAAGGGGTCAACTTATTTTCTAAAGCACCAGAGGCCAGGACAAGAAACTATGGGTGGAAACTAATCAAGGAGGGAAGCAACCTGGAATTAAGGGGAAACTTCCTAACAGTGAGGACAATTAACCAGTGGAACAGCTTGCCTTCAGAAGTTGTGGGTGCTCCAACACTAGAGATTTTAAGAAGAGACTGGACAGCCACTTGTCTGGAATGGTATAAAGTCTCCTGCTTGAGCAGGGGGTTGGACTAGAAGACCTCCAAGGTCCCTTCCAGTTCTATTCTGATTGATTGACCTGGCCTCTTTTTTATATTTTGCATAAATAAAAAAACAGAATGACCTAGAACTCAAGAGTGCTTTTTCAAAAGGCAACTGGGCTGTTGTTTTTTTTATCAATTGTCAGTACCTATCATTACATTCTGGTTTTTTTTAAACTTGAATAAAGTTGAGAATTATTTGTAATTGCTTTGCAGAGTCCTATGCAGCCAAGCAACAGACCAGTCTTTTCAGCTTTCCAGCGAAGGAGATCTCAAGCACTGCTTCATTTCTACAAAAAGCTGATGATTCTTCAAAGCATCTCAGTTCTCGCCCCACTTTTGAAGAAATGGATTACGATGGAAGCAAAATCCAGCAAATAATAAACAAATACAAAAAAGATCTCGGCTGGTCATCCCTGAGTAATGTATCTTCTGACCATGGTAATGTAATTAGAAGATAATAAATGGAATATTCCAAAGCATTCTGTTCGTTGTTTCCCATGCAATATACCGTTTCTATTGTGCGCAGTGAATGTGATTGTGGGAATATCCCACAAACTTTACATCATACTGCGATGGACTGCACCCCCCCCGAAGGTTCCCTATATCTCTGCATGAAATACATCAGCTTGAGGGTGCATTGCTGTCCAATTGCTAAACAATCTAGATATCCGGGCCTGGGTTTAGCCACCCCAGTAACTGCTCAGATTTAATTTAATGTTATGCATAATTTTATTCATTGCTCGTGCTGTATGTTTTTAAACTAATTCACTGCGCTGATGTTTTATATTTTGATAGACCTTTCCCTTGCTGTTTTTGTGAATTTTGTATGCATTAATGCAACATTCTGTTAGCACCATACAAAACACACACACACAAACACAAAATGTGTAGTGGATTAACAGAATTGTACTTACACAATAGACCTGAAACCATGTGAGTGAAAAATTATTGCTTTAATGTTGCATTTTTAAGTCGCTGCCTCTCTGAATTTGCCATCTGGAAAGATTTGCGTTGAGTTGGTATTGCCTGTTGACACAATATTAGAATTTTTTTTTGTTGTTGTTGTTAATTGCGAAGTCGTGTCCGACCCATCGTGACCCCATGGACAACGTTCCTTCAGGCCTTCCTGTCCTCTACCATCTTCTGGAGTCTCTTTAAGCTCACGCCTACTGCTTCAGTGACTCCATCCAGCCCCCTCATTCTCTGTCGTCCCCTTCTTCTCTTGCCCTCCATCTTTCCCAGCATTAGGCTCTTCTCCAGTGAGGCCTTCCTTCTCATTAGGTGGCCAAAGTACTTGAGTTTCAACTTCAGGATCTGGCCTTCTAAAGAGCAGTCGGGGTTGATCTCTTCTAGGACTGACCGGTTTGATCGCCTTGCAGTCCAGGGGACTCGCAGGAGTCTTCTCCAGCACCATAGTTCAAAGGCCTCAATTCTTTGGCACTCAGCCTTTCTTATGGTCCAACTTTCACAGCCATACATTGCAACTGGGAAAACCATGGCCTTGACTATACGCACTTTTGTTGGCAGGGTTTTTTTTTTTTTTTAGTATTGGCCAAATTTTCCTATTATGTACTCCAGGGGCTGTTTTACTTCCCATTCTATGATTCCATTTTACTATACAATAGTTACTTTGTTGTCGTGAGCAGGGGAGGCAGGGTGCCGTGCAGATAAGGTGTTGCGAATTACCGTGAAACTGTTCCACTTCCTCTGCACCTCCTGTTGGACAATGGCCTTGGATCGCTGTACAGGTAGTCCTCGGAATACGACCACAATTGAGCCCAAAATTTCTGTTGCTCAGTGAGACAGTTGTTCAGTGAATTTTGCCCCATTTTACGACCTTTTCTTGCCATAGTTGTTAATTACCGCAGTTGTTAAGTTAACACATTTGTTAGGTGAATCTGGCTTCCCCGTTGACTGTGCTTGTCAGAAGGTTGCAAAAGGGGCTCACAGGACGCTGGGACACTGCGACCGTCATAAATATGAATCAATTGCCAAGCATCTGAATTTTGATCATGTGATCATGCCGCCATCATAAATGTGCAAAATGGTCACAAGTCACTTCTTTCAGTGCCATTGTGACTTCGAACGGTCAGTAAAAGAATTGTTGTTAGTCAAGGACTACCTGGATTATTAATTGGCTTGCCTTGGAAGCAGAGTAAGAGTTATATCCAAGCACTATATATCTATAGATATAGTTTATATATATATATATATAGGGAGAGAGAGAGAGAGAGAGAGAGAGAGAGTAAAATATTAGTGTTCACGAACTATAAAACAGTCGTTGTATAACACACCTAAAGTTATGGATCGAATGATTATGTATAATTCAAGGAAAGAGAGATGGAGCAAAAAGATCGGTCACTATTTTCCGGCAGGTGTTATCTAAACTCCATAAGGAGACTACACTTTACTGAACAAAGTGAAGTAAATTAGGTATCTAAGGGTGAATGTCAGTGTTCATTCTTGGCACTTCTAGTCTGACTTCAATTTTGCCTTGGTTCATTGTTCTGATGTTCCACATAAACATTGGCATGCACTATTTGCAACACTAAAGTTTTCTTTGGCTTCTTGGTACATCAGCAGTTGGACAACCTTTTGACTTTTAATTCAGCCACATCATAGGACCAGTGTCACTCATCCTGGCACTGTTTTTTTCAGTAGCTTGTTGGATATTTTCTGATCTGAGGGTTCATCTACCAATATCACACTAACCTTTTCCTGGATGTGAATGTCTATCCTGTTTTCTTGGTTGAGCTGGTTGCCATTTCCCTTTCCAGTGCTTTGTATTTAGTCTGACTATCAGTTATAACTTGGTCATCCTAGGTTTATGTAGTTCCCATGGTGACCACAAAGTAACAATCCACAAAAGTAAATACTGTGTGGCGCTGTCTGAAATTCTGTTTCATTTGTTTTAGATCCAGCGGTTGGACTTGATGCTGCTGATATTGAAAGAAATTTTCCAAATTTCCACCGAGAACTTTTTCAGCCTTTGAAGCCGAGTTTTGACTTTGATATCTGCTCAACTCTTTTTCACTATAGAATATCTCAAAACAGCAAAGACTTAAGCAAGGTATTTTGGAATGGAGGCAAATTGAGAATGAGTCTTCTTTTAAAAAGTCAGCTCTGGCTTAATGATCTTTAGAATACATTCATGATGGCAAATAGGTAACTGAAGTTATGACACTTTTGCCAATGAGACTAAGAGGTCAATACACAGAATGTATATATAGAGAATTGTGGTTTATTTCCAGCATGGAAATCTCTTGACAAAAAGTGCTTTTGTTAACATTCAGATAATGTCGGTCATTCTCTCTTCTACTGTTGGTTTATAAGAGGATAAAGGAATGAGTCACTATGATATCAGGTTAGACCAGGGGCGTCAATCTGCTGGCCCGCTGGCTGGACGCGTCATCTGGAAGCCACGCCCACCCCATTGCCGGCAATGGCAAAACCGTCCCAGTACGTTGCGCGACATTACATGACGTCACGAGTTTGACGTGTCTGGGTTAGACGGTTTAAAACATAGAAATGCAAAAATAAAACAATGATTTAGAGCAGCAGTTCCCAGCCTTTCTGGCACCAGGGACCAGTTTCAGAAGAAAAATTGTCTTCCAGGGAGGAGATGATTTTATGTGCAGTCTAGATCCCGCACCTGCGCAGACGAAGCTCCACTTGCTCGCCCGTCGCTTGCATGGCCCAGTTCTTAACATGCCACAGACCGAGTTCGGTCTGCGGCCCGGGGATTGGTGACCCTCTGATGTAGAGAGATCAGAGTTGGGCTAGGAGCCATTCAAGTCTCCCTTAATGCTGATAGCCTGATGGCATCTGAGGCTTGTTCTCAGCTAGATTGATCCAGATTCAAATTCCTGCCGTACAATATAAACTTCCCCATGTGGAAGCCTATATTGACAATATTGCAACCAATTTTCTTGTCCAAAAGAAATATATGGGTGGCATACAAATTTAATAAATTATTACGGTCGGTCCTACAGTCAGCCAGATGTTTAGACTGCATTTGGCATTTTTATCTATCTATTGAGTCCCTCTCAAGGACCTTGGATAGACAGATGTTGACGTTTGATGGTATTATTAATATTATTATTGTTTTGTTATCTGCAAATGGAATGTCTCTGTTGATGAAATAATTAAATAATAATTAAAAAACTATTTTGTATTCCTGAGTATTTTCCACATAACCTACTATTATTCTCTGGCTGGAAGATGGAGGTGCTTACCTGATTTTCTTGTATCAGTGTCATTTATGTCATAATGTTGTATATAACATAGTTGTACAGTTGACTAACAGTTTTATTGCTGCACGAGAGTTGCAGAACTGTTCTGCCACTATTTCAATCCCGGTTGTTGTTCAGATTCTACCACATTATTGGTAGCATTTAGAACTCCCTATGTTAAGATGAGAAAACTCCAAAAGATTTTAGCATGCCTTATGAAATGTTCATGCTATGCTTTATTCTCCCCTCATGCATTTTTATTCTATAGATTTCAGATTTATCTAAGAGTCAAGATTTAACAACTTCTACTCTAGAAGAAGGAAGCAACAGTCCTTTATTTCTTAGCAGAGGAAAACTAAGCAGTTCTCAGCTAAAGGAACAGAGTAATGAAAGGATAAACCAGCCAAGGCAAGGTAATTGTTTAGTCCTTTAATCTTTGTAGTCAGGGAAATATTTTTAAAAATTAAACATTGCTGTTATTAACAAAAGGAGGGATATTTGACTAAGTGCTGACCTATTTCTGTTCGGCTTTGAAGTTTAGGTTCCAAAGATTCTGTTTGATCCATGCTTCTCTGATTTAGAAATTGAGTAATTGATTTTTTCCCAGCAGATTTTACACAGCAGAGATATTTCTTATATATTAATGATTTGATTTGATTTCTACAGCTCTCTC